TTTTCAATTCTTCTTGATAGTTTGAATAAAAAACATCGTGACATTTTTTTAATAACACTTTTTGAAATGTTATTTCTGTATCGGTAGCAATAAGATTATTAAACTTGAAGTCATTGATCAAACGTGCACACATCTGAGCGTATATGTGTGTATAATTTTGTCTTTTTAAAGCCTAGATGGATATAACGATAATGCAATAGATAAAATAAAACGCAATGATAATATTATACAAGTTCAATTAGAAGTTAGAACTATAGTCTATAATCAATATTAATTTTATACACAATATACATACTCGATCAAATATTATATTTGTTATGTCATCGAGTAGTTTAACATTATTTATTGGCAAAGCCATCATTTTTTGTGTCATCTTAACCCAGTTGACATCATTTAAATGGTAAACAATCGATCTTACAGTATTTAACACTTGCTAAAATAATACAAATTAAAAAAATTTATGATTGAAATGTATAAATATATAGAGACTAAATAACACTTAATATTGCATGAATAATAAATAAAAACTATTCTATCTCTAATTGTGTAAATTAATACACTATATATATATGCTTATGTTCATCCAGGCTGAATTTAGTTGAAAATAGCAATCTAATGACACATAGGTATCTTGTCTATATTCCTACCTTTAATTGTGGTGCTGATTATTGTTTTCGTCAGGTTAGAATGTTGGATTAAATATTATGTAATAATGAACAATTTAACTTATTTATAACATATTATGAAAATTATATTTAAAAGAAGCATTCAAATTTTATAAATGTGTAACATTGAATACTTACATCAGAGTTATTTTTTTGTTCCATAATTACTTTTTTTTCAATCTTATGAACCTCAGTCTTCAGTACAAACAAAAAACTGAAAATAAAATAAAGAAAATTATAAGAAAGAACAGATTTAAATTTAATAATAATAATAAATGAATGCAATATTTTATTTAGAAACTGATTGTAATAAAACTCAAATAATATGTTAAATCAAAAATTTAATTATTTACCACTTTGTATACGTATTATTATAGTCCTAACTTAATTTTTCATAATGGCTCAGATTTGTATTATTATTATAATAATCATTACAATATTACCATTAAAGAAATTACATTTTTCATACATTATATTACATTGAACTGGAAATCCATATAACTTAATAAGAAACTAATAGATACATTTTAAACAGTGTTGAACTGTTGAAGAATAGATATTTGTGTTGAACTATATGAATAATATTGTAACAATTTTTTTTAAATAAAATCAAAATTTTGTTTCATTCTTCCAAGTATTAGGTATTTTCAAGTCCAATTTATCTAATTGTTATTTAGTAAACCAAGTACAAAAAAATCAAGAATGCTCATCGATAAATATGGTCTGCAGACATACCTAGTTCGGAGTTTCGGACTCAAGATTATTTTTTCGGTAATATTATATTATAAATTGTAATCATGAAATACCTACTATTTACTACTTAGTACAATTATGATTATGCTAAAAAGTACTAATTCTATATAATTATCCATACAATTACAATATTACTATCACATAAAATAATTAATGTACCTTACTTGTAGTTACTTGTGTATAGAGTATTAATTACTAGTTCGTATAATCTTCAGTTGACACGTAGGTATTAATCAATAGAAACGGACTTTACTGCAGGTCTGAACTCAATGACGATAATTGGAAAATGAGTACTAATTACTAATGCAGGTATAATATATTTATATTATTATGTTGCCAAGTATTTGTTATTATACATAACACACCAATAGCAACCATTTAAATTACCTAGGTACTGCTTAATAACAATATTATACGCTAATGCAGGCCAAGTATTAAACTATACCTAGCAATTAACAATGGTTAAAAGCTCACTGAATAGGTGCACAACTTAAGTCACCCAAATGTCTATACTATATAGTTACTATATTTAGGAACTACCACAGAACAAGAACTGCAGTTTACTATAATCCTATACTTTCTCGATCAATATATAGAACACTCGTGTCTCGCTGCAGTGTATTGTGTACGCAGAAAACCATAAAACAACAAAATTATAAAGGTTATATTATTATAGTTTATATCTCAGACATCCTTGCGCCGAGGTGATGTTTGGATACGGCACTGTTAAAAAGTGTGCCGTCTTAACCTGCTTAAAGTGGGCAGATTGGTCCAGATTTGTCGAACAGAAATGTGCGGTTATTAGAGTCAACGGTTTGAATTATCGATTTCAAACGATGTGTGTCCTACACAATTTTGAAATACGTAGAAGTACAGATTTCTTTGGTACCGACCACGAGCATATATATCACGGAGGATCAGCAGTCATTCATGGCCTCTCAAGCCGGGTTCACACTACACCTTGTCGACTGATTTCGTATTTGTACGTTTATACCAAAATGCAATACCAATGATATTAATATTGTATCTGATGATAACATATTATATTATTTTATTTTAGCTATCACTTTTCCGCACATAAATGTAACCACACGGTCAAAAATTGAATACATTCAACTTTGCAGTATCTTTTGGTAACTGTGCAGGTGGTAACTGTGATTATTTTACACTTCACGATGCGCACACTATACGCATTCTCTAAATTAGGTAAGTAAACAGACTACATTGTAAAAATGTAGTGACTGTGGTAGTGTGGTTAGGTTATTATTCACACATAACGAACTTATTCCGTCAAAACTTAAATATTCTTCACTCCAAAGCACTCCACAGTCACTTTATATTTTTATAATAATGTGCAATAAAAAACTGATTTTGACCAAAACTATATGGAGATGTTTTGTTGTTGCCCTCAGGTCTTTATTTACGCTCTATATATTTTAGGGTCGATAGACCAATTGCGCTCAAAACATTTTATAATGTCGACCTAAGGAAAACTCATTAATTAGTTATAAATTTATAATTATATAATAAATTAATACACTAACCGATTTTTTACGAACATTAATGCATAATACATAATATTTTATAAATAAATAAATAATTTTTTTCTTAACATTTATTAAGTTACTTTTTGATCGCCAATTATTTAAAATTAAAGTTATACCAGTGCTACATTATAATAAATTAATAAACTTATAACAAGTAAACTTGTTTACAATATAATAACACGCTGATTTTAAAAATTGTTTTCCGGTAATCAAGCCTATAGTATCAAATTTAATAGTGAAATACATACTATATACATTATACATAGTACATAGATACTATATATTATATAATATAATTTACATAAATAAATAATTTTTTTTTTCAAATTTAACAATGCATTTTAGAATACGAAAAACTTATTAGTTAGGTAGTTATAATTATAAATATAATACAAATAAATGAATAAGAACACTAACCAATTTTTTTGAGAGTATTAATACCTACAATATTGTATAATATAAATAAATGAATAACTTTTTTCTTCGCATTTTTGACTGTCAATTATTCAAAATTAAAGTTATACCAGTTACATTATAATTCACATTTAAACTTAAATACAAGCGCTATTGCTGTATTTACCGTAAAATATAAAGAGCGCAATCGGTACACTGTCCCAAAACAAAAATTTTGTTTTCGGCCCAAATGGTCCATGCCCGTTTTCTTAACATTCTTGTATGGGTACCTATATGCCTATTGACTATATACCTATTAACCGTTAGTTGTTACAAGTAAATCTTCATGCATACGCCGGTGGCGCCGAACCTATAACCCAAGAGGGGCGACCGCCCCCCCCCCTTTTTTCGGTGGGTGGGGCCGTGGGGGTCCGTGGGTACCATAACACTGAATGTCTTATACTACACAATAGTAATAGACAGGGTACCTACTGCAACACACCTTCTTGGTTATATGAACCAAGTGGTTGTCGATATACCTATATACCTAATCCTATAGTTCCTACCCAGTTAAGGAGTAGATGGTTGGCTATTCCTTCTACACGAACCGGTCTTGAGAACCGGGTTGTTAGACTGATTTAAATAAAGTTTTCAAAGTTATATTTTACAGGTATTAGAAACTTACGACTTGCTTTCATAAACTAACACAATCGAACACGACTTAGCAACGTATACAATTTCATATATATTTATATATTTCGTATACGTAATATAAAATTTGTATTTTGATTGTTGTGCCTGAAAATGGAAGTTGGAATACTCAAATCAAATTACTCTTAACTAATAAATTAATAAATTAATTGTAATTCGAATATAGAATAATATAGATCGTTAATTATTAGTAATTAATCATTAATGTAACTTACTATCATTTATCAATTATCATATAAATATTTGCCCCATATAACATTAACACTTAATATTATATATACAAGGAAAAAAAATTAACATTACGTATTTAATATTAAATAGGTAACATATATTTAAAGATTTACAACAAATTGACAACAAATATTATACAGACATTTTATATACAGGACATAGATAATAGGTATATAGGTTTATAATAAAAATATTAGATACAAGGAACAAAATGGTAATTATAGGTAACATAATAAACAATATATAATATGGATGAACTCGCCATAAACAGCGTGGACACGCGTCAAACTACAACGGTCATGACGACGGTGTACCACACCAACAACAGAGTCGTCTGCTGATCTTCGACAATCGCCTCCCGATTGCCGAAAGAATCGGTCTACGAATGATCCGTTTAGTGTCCGACGTCCCTTCCAACAGGTCGCCGCTGTTATCGGCTGATAACGTGTCAACCTCGTCCTCCGGTTCGTCGACCTGTCTGGCAGACACATTTTCATCAACGACGTTGATGTCCACCGGTCGTGGACAAATAATCGTCACGGGCTCCGGGACGGGGACTCAGAATTGTCGCTGCAACGAATTATTGTCTGCCCGACCTTTAAAACGAACCTCGTGGCCCGAGGAAAAGTCGGAACATCAGACAGGACGAAGTTTAGGGAACGGCGAATGACAGCCGATCTCAATGATCTCCCTAATGCTTTCAACAGGACGATGTTACCCGCCGACTTGAAAGTATTCTTGCCTCGTCTGTAAGTGACTGGCTGCAGGGCGTTTGTACCTGCGTAGCTGTTGGTACTTGTTCATTACAGTCCGTTAAATGTTCTTCAACTACAATATCTGCCGGTTTTATCGACACGAAGTACTCGTTTCTTCTCATAACCGCCGAGTCCCTCACGATTTCCAAAAGTACTAGTTGCTCCGGACTTGGCCGCAAAAGATTCAAGTCGACTTTCTCTCCATCGGCTGCTGTGGTAACGTCTTTTCTTTGACTCTCCATTGCAAAATAATTAATTTCAAATTTTAAGCCAAAATATACAATGACTCGAAAATATTATCGAATTATGATAAATATATTTGAATGTAATCAAACCTATAATAATACATTTGACAAGCGATCGAATTTCATGGCAACGAAATATAATAATATACAGCCAACACAGTTATATCATTATTTATAATAAAATATTTTATGAATAGCCAACGACCAACTTCATAACAATAATTTTCAAATTTTATAGATTTTTACGACTCTTTCTAACTTTAACTGCTTATAAAAAAATATTGTAGCGTTTTTGTTGTACATATATATTATATATATTTATTTGTTTGTACATTTTTAATGTATGCGGTTTAACGAGTTATGGACCTTCCAAATTTTAATTTTAACAATAAAGTATCAGCAAAATGTGTATCGCACACAAACGGTGTAAAATGTGTGGTTATGATTGGTAAGTGTGTGGGTTTTGAACGACCCCCGAATAAATCTATTTACTTATTAAAATATGGACGAGAAATACTACGGGGTGATTCTTTTATCAAACAACACTCATTATTTCAAAAAGTGTAAATTTTTTATTTTAAATTTTATATTCTAAAGTAGAATATTTTTCTTAGTATTTTGATACATGAAAATTGAATGTGGGGCGAGTAGTTTATGAGTTATAAGTATTTAAAGTTTAGATGAGCGGAGTGGAGTAGTGGTTCGGGGTTACCCCGCGAAATTTTGTCCACTTCACCGCTCGTCTAAACTTTAAATACTTATAACTCATAAACTACTCGCCCCACATTCAATTTTCATGTATCAAAATACTAAGAAAAATATTCTACTTTAGAATATAAAATTAAAACCCTATGTTGTCATTCAAAAAAGTAAAAAACTTAAAAAATTATAAGGATAAAAAATAATTAAAAAAATAATTTTTTAATAAAAACATTGTTTTATAAGCGACTTGAAACTATGTAAAAAAATATCTTCAAAAAAATTTACACTTTTTGAAATAATGAGTGTTGTTTGATAAAAGAATCACCCAGTATTTAACATAAGGTGTTTAAATGTTTAAAACTGTTCGTAATTAGTAGATCTGTAGATAGTACCTATGTTAAACTCAGTGGCGGCTAGTGGAGTTTATAGAAGATGGGGAACAATATTTACCCTTTCACTATTATCACAACTTAGGTACCACCTCTAATTTCTGTTAGTTTAAAATTTAACTCAAATCTTGTATTACATTGTACAAAATACTTTTAATACACCTATATGACACTACAAATATTTAATAAAAACAAAATTATGACAACGAAAACTATAAGACCGATGAATCTAGTACAGTGGTGTAGAGGAACAGCCAGGATTTTTGAATGGGTGGGGGGAGGGGGGGGGCCAAGAAAAAACCAACAACCGTTTTATTAGGTAGCTGATAAATTCAACAAAAAAAAGGTGGGTAAGTGGATGTCACTCTGCTGTATAGTAGGTTACAAGTGTGAAGTGGGTCACTGTATAATGGATGCTATTAAATTTGAATTCAATGATACAATATCAATGTATAAGAAAAACGATTCTGAGCGAAGACGGTACCTATGTCAGTCTAGGTTTAAGACAAATTATATACATATCTATGGTATTATGAAATTGACCTATAATAAATTCCAAATTAATCATATCACATTATCACAATATGTCAATATCCATTAGGTACTTATAAGTTATAACACATGTATAATACATTATACATCAACATCAATAACAAACCCTGATACTATCATAGATATATAATAGTACACTTTAGAAGTTTCAAGTAGGTACCCACGAATATTATATAATCACAACAAAATAACTAGGTTTTTTAATATGTAATTTCGTCCAAATTTGAACATAAAATGACTATAAAAATAAACTGTGATTGTATATTTTTTAGATTTTTCGGTAAGAGAATTAACTACTTACGTGGAATCTTGTTTTAAATTTTCAATCCTTAGCTATAAAAACTGAACATTTTATAATTTATTAATTACGATGATTAATAATTTTCGAGATTTTCAAAAATTCTGTCAAAATTCGATGTTTAAATGCTTATAAAAAAAAACTGTGACTAACGATTTTTAATATTTTTCATCTGCCTTTGAAACAATATACTAGGAGCCTTCTATTAAATTTTCAAGTTTTTTTAACCAACAAATAAAATTTTATTGATATTTCTAGAAAAAAAACTAAAAAAAAATGAAAAATGAAAATGTCCCTAAACAGTTCAAAATAAATCAAAATATTTTGAAAATGTTATCGTGTATAGAAAATGCAAATATAAACAACCAGTGAAAATTTCATGTATCTACGGTCATTTGTTTTAAAGTTATACCAAAAACCAAATTCAATTTACTGAAAAATCGATTTTGAGTAAAAGTACCCGTTTTTCTTTAATTTTAAATTTTGACCTCCCCAATGCACCAACGATATTCACTTTCCAATCGAAAAAGATACTGAAGTTAAAAATCGAAGCATTTTTCGAATACTTATCTTGTACACACCCACAAAAAAAATAAAAATAAAAAAACACACATCATTGTAAAATCAATACATTCATCGTTTCACTCAGAATCTAAAATAAGAATAAAAATTGTAACAAATATTGTAAATGTCAAACCAATTAAAAAGAGCACCTCTATGACAATTTTTCAACAGTTTTATACTGATTATTTGTAAAAAAATAATGGCCACAACACGTGCGGGCACAAAAATATATTTTTACATGGGAGTTGAGAGAACGACCGGGAACACACGCTTAGATACACATTTTTTCAAACAATAAAAATGAATACATCATACTTTTAAAATAATACCACATTTGGCTACCAATAATACGTTTAGGCACACATTTTTTTCTATCTCATCTTTCTAGTCTATAAGGGTTACCCAGGAGACACGAGGAGATTGGCTCTAAATTATTTCCCAATTTTTTTTAAAGTAGTTAAGGTCAGGCGGGTTAACAGCGACGTGGTTTTGCAAAATATCAGTTTAATAGAACATACCATCTTACTGTATTCTTACGTGGAACATACTTTTTATCATCCATTTAATGAACGGATCAGGAATACTAATTTGTATTTAAAAATGTGTTTTGATAATTTTTTAGTTGAAAACAAATTATTCAAAAAAACAAAAAAAAGTGTCGCACTTTCCCGTTACCGGGGTAAGTGCAAAACCGGTACTTTTAAAACAGTTGTATACAAGCTATTCCTTGGCCGGAGCAAGTGCCATATACTTATACACTAATGAAATTCTTCAAAGAAATTCCGTTGAAAGAATTCAATTATTTTAATTTTATCAAGATTTGACAGACCATCTGGTTTTAGATTCTGAGTGGAACGATGAATGTATTGATTTTACAATGATGTGTGTTTTGTTATTTTTTTATTTTTGTGTCAGTCATCACGGTTTGGTGGTAGTAAAACTGCTTCGATTTTCTTCAACAGTATCTTGTTCGATGGGAAAGTGAATTTAGTTGTTGCATTCTGGAGGTCAAGTTTTAAAATTCACAATAGTTTTCACAAGCGACGGGAAAAACAACATAAAAATTAAGGAAAAACGGGAATTTTTACGCAAAATCGATTTTTCACAAAATTGAATTTGGTTTTTGGTGTAACTTTAAAACAAATGACCGTAGGTACATGAAATTTTCACTGGTTGTTTATATTTGCATTTTCTATACACGATGAAATTTTCAAAATATTATGATTTGTTTTGAACTGTTTAGGAACATTTTCATTTTCCATTTTTTTTTAGTTTTCTTTCTAAAAATATCAATAAAATTTTATTTGTTGGTTAAAAAAGAATGAAAATTTTATAGAAGGCTCCTAGTATATTGTTTCAAAGGCAGATGAAAAATATTAAAAATCCTTTGTCGCAGTTTTTTTTTTATAAGCATTTAAAGTTCAAAAATTAACAAAATATGAAAAAATCACGAAAATTATTTTGAGTTAAGAATTCGTAAAAATTTTTCTTTTTAAATCTAAGATTTGAAAATGTGATACAAGATTACTCATAAGTCATAAGTTTGTCTACCTTTTTCAATAAAAAAATCTCTACCGGGAAATCAAATTAAATTTTTTCAACTCAGTTTTTAAATATTAAATATCAACATTTCTTATTGTTACATACTTTAATTTACGCCTATATTAAAATCTTAATACAAATAATACCTACAACAAAACTTAAATTCTTATACCAATAACACCAAAAATGAAAAAATGACATAAGTTAAGAACATTCAATTCTTTTTATAACATGTAAACAAATTAAGTTATAAATTATGCTTAAAGTTTAAACAATAAATAATATATTTAATATTTAAATATATATGCATTTTTAAGTAATTGAAAATTGTGTGGTTTTGGATTCTAAAATGTTATTGTGATGGGGACAAGGTTATAAAGGTTATAAATTATTATTTTTAATTAAAGCATTATTATGTTTGCATATAATTTTTCTCTATTATTTTCAATAAAATATTTATCAAAGGTGGTAATGAACTTGAGTTGTTTTATAAATTTATTTGGTAATTAAAAAATATATTTATATTTGTTTTTAAATATTGAAACGCATAGGCACAACTTGGGTTAAAATTATGGGGGAGCTAAAACCCACTTAACAAAACTATTAATTTAAAATAATCCATATGGGGCTTACATTTAAATCAATAAGTGATATTTTTGGGGGGCTACACCATAGTCAGAGAGGGCTAAGCCTACATAGTTAAGCCACTGGTTCAGCCTGTTTTGGTAAATATAACTTTCTATAAATTACATTTAATTATCCAATTATTGATAAAAATGATGACATATTGACTGGTTAGTCAACGAGTTGTTAGTTGCAAGAATTGTAATGTGAATAAAGCATTTATTCAATATAATATAATTTAATAATTTCTATAGCTTTTAATTTAATACACAAATAGTCAATTTAAATTATATAAATCCTATTCAATCAAAATACAGAAGATTTTAAATTTCTATAATAATATAAAATATTATATGCCATGTATATTTCCACAATCTAAATTAGCTAACATATACGAGGACTATCAACTACTACTGCACCATAAATTTGGTTAAAACTAGAAAATGTTTTGATTGACCAGGTATTTGTGTTGGGATTATAAATCTCTGCAGAATCCACATAAAAATTGTCATGTATTCCACCCATAACATACAATAAACCATCCAATGCAAATACTCCTGTATCAAAAAAGCAATTTAAATTCAATACATTTTTACATATATTTTCTTAAGAATTTTATTAATCACCAGCAAAGACTCGACACCAATTCATGTCAGCAATAGACATCCAAACTCCAGCACTTGGTCGATAGGCCTCACAACTTTTGTGAATAATTGACCCAGTAGTGCCACCTATTGCATACATTACACCGTCCAAGACTGCTACACTAACTCCACTGCGACATACAGACATTTCTGCAACTGGTGCCCATTCGTTAAGTCTGGGATCATAACATTCAACAGATTTCAAATGTAATATACCATCAAAACCTCCAACCTACAGTAATTAATTAAATTATAAGTTACAAATAAAAATTAAATAACTATTTACCGCATATAAGAGGTTATTGAGTACTCCAACCCCAAACCGACTTCTCTTACTAGACATACTTGATATCATTTGCCATTCTTGAATACCAAAGACCTCTGCATTATTTAAAACACTAGTACCATCAGATCCGCCAACCTAGCTTTAAATATAATGTAATATAGGTATTCAAAATACTTCAAATATACAATAAGCCATATAGATATAACTTACGGCATATATACAATCATCTAATACACCAACTCCTAAATCTTTTCGACTAACTAACATTTCAGCTATCGGTATCCAACACGGTGATTGTGAAGATAAATCAAGAATTTCAACAGACTGAGAACTGGAGTTATTAATACCACCCGCAGCAATCACAAATTGATCTTTTATCACACTAAGACCAGCTGTCTCACGGCGTTTACTTATTTGTGGTCCAATCAGCCATATATTTATTGCTGGGTCATACCAATATGTATTACACCTATTTGAAATATTACACCAACTGAACCCTAAAACAACCTGATGAAATTAAATTAATAAAGCAATTGTAAAAAAATTAACCAAAATAGAATCATACTTTTTGTGAACCATCCGGTTGTCTTTTCTTACTCCGAATGTTTTGTGGAATAGTGAAAGGCTGTACTGACTTAAGTACATAAAAATGTAACACTTCAAATACGTAATCTTTACCTAAAAATATTATAATTTATAATTTTGACTTATCATACAAGAAATATTTAAGCAAATAACATACATTTAGGACTATGTTTAAGAAGAGGTTCATCAACTACTTTTTCTAATATATACTGTTTTGAAGCTAATGGTAAACGTACATGTTCCATCAAATCAGGCAAAAAATCTATTCTCCATTCCAACTCATATTTAACCCAATTAATAACACATTCATATACCTACAATAAACAAATAAATACAATTTAATTAATATAAGCAAAAGTAGTTTTTTATATAAGATCAGCGCCTCAAATTTATTTTTCTGGTTTGTTATATCAGTATTTCACCCATCCCAAAAAATGTTTATTGCTTCACTCAAAATTTGAAGGAAATTTGCTAGATCTCATAAATTATTACGGTATTGATTTTTCTCACTCTCTCTCTAATTTACTTATAATTTCTAGGGCCCCCATACTTATGAAAGAAGTTTTACTTCCCCAGAGTTTAATGGTGGGCTCACACACTCTCGGTTTTTTTATTTATTCATATTTAAGCAACTTGATATTTATTTACAATATTAAAACAAGACAGTAATTATTTGAGTTTTCTTACTTTTTCTTCTAATGAAACAGTTAGGTCATTACCAGAGATCAGTTTAATCACTTCCTCGGAAGATAAAGATAGAAACTCATCATATTTAATCACTTCTCTGAAAAGAATAATCATATATTTATAAAATTTACTGATGGAACCTGTAAAATGTAATTAAATATATTATCATACACAAAATGTTTTTTAATATATGCTTCAGAATATGCCAACAATTCCATACAGTTATGCATGTCAGCAAATGCTTTGATACCGAGACAATTTGAAGGAATAATTTGTTTCTGTAAAAATTCAACACATCCGCCTATTACAAAATCTAACTGTAAGAAATTTGCAGCTGGTAACAAAGTCTGTTAATAATAATACATTTAAATCAATAATATGAAACTAAGTAGCTCTATAAAATAAATAAAATTTTTCTTTATACATGTATATTTTCCACAGTTATCACAATTTCTCCATTATAAATATAGTCAATCAAGCTTTGGAAAGTGGTTGAATCCAACTCTTTTATATGTATCAGTTCTTTTTTACTTTCCTCAAATCTAGTGAACATTGAACGGAAATATGGACAAACAGATACTAGTACAACTTTATGTCCAAGTATGATTGTACCATCATCAGTTTCAATCCTAATATCACATAAAACTCCTTCTCTAAAAACAAAAATTTGTTATTTATTTTTCAAATAGAATTTTTATTGAGCTAAAATCACTAACAACATACTTCCGTAATGATTGTAATACTTCAAATACTCCAACTACATGAGAGCTATTTCTTAGTTTTGTTGGTTCACATCCATTGAATTTTAAAATTGGTTTTTGATCACATGTACCACATAAAGTCTGTTTGGCTTCCATAATTTGTATGGATATAACACAATTAAAAATGCATTCTAATAACTAATCCCTCGGTTGCATCCCAGTCTTATCTGAAAATAAAGGTAGCACAAATTGCATTCCAAGTTAAATTATTTATAATTTCTTTTTTTTCAGTGATGTATAATCTGATAATTAATTTTATAAGCACATTTTTATTTTGTATGTAATAATCAATATTACTGCATTACCTAATACTTAAAAGTTAATAATATTATAAATTAAATATTTCATAATATGAACATTTTAAACATTATATTTTGAATAGTTTTTTATGTTTGTACACTTCATTAAAATAATATTATGAATTAAAATTTAAAAGAAATTCTCAATTGATAAGTAATTATAGTATAATATTATGCTTACACGTCGGTAATTAGTAATTATTTCATAAATTGTAATTGACTGTTTCTTTTGATTAGCAGTCATATGATTTACATATTGTGTATAGTATTACTATTAGTATTAATATTATTGTATGTTTAATTAAAAATATAATATATTCAATTGTAAATTATTTGTCAAACATAAATTGTATTTGTAAATCTTAGTTTAGGAACAACTTATACCCATATGACATTGCATGTTAATTCTAAAAATGTTATAGATCCTATACACAAATAAAGATTTTACCATGATATAGTCAATAAAACAGGACTTTAGATCATATTCTATGATCCAAGACGAGGACTAATTCTGCCCATTATTAATCTTAAATCTAAAGATATTTTTTAGAACTTGATATTTACTTTTCTATGATTTCTATTCTACACAATATAAGGAACTCGTATCATCATATACCTACATCTTATTTCACAATTTTCTCGCTTGTTAAATTAACATGGATGTACATCTTTGTTATATTTTCCAGTACAGATTAAAATAGTACCTACATAAAATTCATTATTTTTTTAACACAATCATGTTTTTCTGTACTATTCTGTATTCACTAAAAACATATTGCATTGGTAGCATAATTGTTACTACAAAACCTTAGTTCATGCTATAAAATAATGAAACTGTAGTTGACAGAGATGTCACTAGACCTCCATGGCATAGGAAGCCAATCAAAATGTATTATTTATCTATTTCCTATATGGTCCTATCACGAACACACTAGGGAAATGATGGATCAATATACACAAAATGACAAACTTTATATATGTATAGGACATAGATGGTAATATTAACAAGTTACTTACTTTAAAAAAGTAAAACAAACGCCATTGAGCCATTTCTTCATCAGTGTACCTGGTGAATATGAAGCAATGTAGTATGCCACGGTACAACGGTGAACTGATCAAATGTAAAAGTAAAATATTATTTTTAAAAAAGTAACTATTTGTAATAATTTATTATAATATACAAAATAAGTATAATAAATGGTATAATACTATACAGGTCTATAATTTTGTGAGTAAGATTTATGCATAGACAATCTCATTCATTATAGTTACCCACTTGCCACTTGTAATCTACTGTACGGCAGAGTGGACGAGTGGTATCTACAATTCTTTGTAAACTATATAGTATATAGACACACGGACTAAAGATATACAGAACTGGACAGTGGACACGAAATGTTATACAACAGACGGAGTTCAGGGAGGGGATATTTTCCTTTTAGCATTACTAGCGCCTTCTTAGTGGATACTTATGGAACTAGAACACATCTTACCATTGAATAAATAATACAAATTTCTAGTTCCATAAGTATCTACCACGAATTAAGGTATATCTTAATTCGTGGTATCTACTCTACTCAGACAGCTGCTAGTAATGCTAAAAAGGAAAATATTCCCCCCGAACTCCGCCTGTTGTATAACATTTCGTAACCACAATAGTCATATTCTCATTTCTCATGTCCATTGTCCACTGTCCAGTCCTGTATATCTCGGTGCGTGCTAGCATAGAACAATATTGAAGCAATGAAGCGGCACTTGATCAGTTTACAGCTGCAGCTGATTGGGGTCTTGTTTACCTATGATCTGAAGTCTGAACCTCCGAAATACACGGAAACGTTTACCAATATGATGTTTGACCCAAGGTGCTACTATGTAATCGTTTACCGGAACGTAAGCGGGAGGCGCAACGCGGGGTCGGCTTGTTTACCATTCCCTATTTCACGTATGCCACGGGCGTATGAAATAACAACATTTACATTTATTATATAGTAAAAAATATTTATTTTAAATCTTTATTATTCATTAATCATTAGTGTTACAAAAAATGCGTACAAATTGGGTTTGATTATATTTTAAAATAAAAATGTAAATAAGTTAGCTGAGGCAAAAAATTATACACATTATAATTACTATTATTATTATGGTGTGACTTGGAGGAAAGTACCACCATGAATACCATTGAAAAAATTGATGAGAGTTTGAATCATATTCATTCGAACTTCAGAATTACCACCATATCTTTCTAAAAGATCTGTTATGTATAGATTTTGATTTACTATTTGACCCAGTACAGTAGAAACCGTATTTTGAATTCCACTAATCAGTAAACCAAACAAAGTCCGAAGATGATCTGTAGCCAAGTCCCGTAACATGTTTCCTACATTTCTAATTCTTGGTATCAACAAATTGTTAATCTGGTATCCAATACCTCCACCTGAAATAACAAAAATCGGCAAAACAATATACAGGATGATTCACCGTGCATGTTCACCCCCAATTTTTCGTTTAATAATGAATTTATTCAAATTCTGATTTTTGGAATTTTTAAACAATATAGTGAACACGTGGATTGCCATGTGACCACCTGTGTTCACTCAATATGCATTATCGGAACGCCAAACATATTATTCAGTGTCATTCCAATTTCCAAATGAGTATATACTATTGTATTTGAAAAAAACATTTAATATATAAAAAAAATATGTTTGTTACATCAAAAGATTCCACGTTACCGAGCTTTTTGTGGTATATTATTGTGGCGCCATGCCCCCATGGAAAAGTTAATAATATAAAACCATATTAATTTACTGTCGCCGGCAGTCATGTGGTGTGCGAGATTTTAGAAAATTTATAAAAGGAGTATGGAATAAAAAAGGTTGGGAACAATCAACAACTGACTTAAGGAGTGTCTTGCGGAGATACAAACTTGAAACTTCTGTTTTTCCAATAAGAACTCCCCCCCCCCGTTCTGTAAATTATTTGTATAGTTTTTCTGAAAACTTTTGCACATTAAAATCAAAATTTAAACAAATAGTTATTTAACTTTTTGAAATAAGGATAATAGGTCCACGATAATGGATTTGGAAGATATGGCAGCTTCGGAAATTTGAAAATTTTATAATATTTATAAAAATAGTCCAAGTATAATAAATACTAGATCCGATCATAAGCATGGTAGGCACTTGACTACTCTGCAAACTTTCAGCCCTCCTCAATATTCAATATTATCAAGATAATCAAGAATTTTATTTTTAAATTACTTTTTTACCATGGAAAATATAGTTAAATGAAGTTACCCTATACAAATTAATTTTTAAAACTGAGGCAGTTAAGCATGAATAAGAATATAATATATACGTATGTGTGTGTGTTACCTTATGTGTTATGGATCCAATATTATATGAATTTTATATTTTTGTAAAATCATTTTTAAGGACTATTATCCTTTGGATAAAAATTTTAGTAACTAAAAATGTACGAGTTTTGAATTAAGTACCTACATCAATTTTTTTTTAAATATTATCTACTGAATAATTTACAGTAAAAAAAGGGCAATTCTCATTTGAAAATCAGAAATTTGTATCACCACAGGACTCTCCTTTAGTAATTTCAAGAATTTGAAAATATGGTCTTTGAGTATATTTAATACCTTATTACAAAAATCAAATTTGAATAAATGCATTATTTAATGGAAAAAGTGGGGATGCTTGGTGATTCATTCTGTAGAACTTGAAAGGTGCATGATATTTGGTAAACAAATAGGTACCTATAATAATTTCAACATATTATTTTTTAATATTAAATAAGAAATCTTTAAAAATTGGTAATAACTTCATATTTTGCAGTTATTGTAATAAATGTACCTATCATAATGGATAACTGTAGTACAACAGACTAAATAAATTATAAAGTATATTCCATACATTGTCTAATCTTCTTAGGCAGTGCCGCATTAAGCCAAATTGCCGCCCCGGGGCAATGTAAAATTTGCCGCCTCTATATATTTAAAAAATATATCATATGATTTTCACCTCTCTTTTTTCGCTATCATAAACACAGCAGAATTATATTTTAATACGTTTCTCCGTTAGTTTTAAAATATTAAAGAGTTATCTAGTAAGTACTTAGTAACCTATACAATGAATTTATACTTAATTTTTCTTTTTAAACATATTATTTATTAAATATTCATAATACAATTAATTAGAATTATAATTAAAAATTAAAAATAGTAAATTAAAATACATTTTTATTCAACTTATATTAATTTTTTTCTTGATTTCAAAACTGCAAATTTATGTATTATGTCCGACCAATCAATCTGTTGTAAAATATCGCTTTCTATATTTAATATGGATAATGATGACATCTTTTCATCAACTAAAGAAGACCTTAGATCATGTTTTATTCTTTTTAATACAGAAAATGACCGTTCTCCACTTGCATTGGATGAAGCCATACAACAAAATATTCGCAATATTATTTCTACATTTGCAAATGTTGTCAAAAGGGCAGAATTTGTGAGGCATTTTAAAAGACTTATAAAAGATGATTTATCTTCTTTTGAAAACAAATTCAGAATATTTTTAAATTGCACCAGTTCTTCTATGAATGTCTCGTTTAAATCTTCAGGATATATTTTCACTAGGTTTTTAGCTTTTTCACGTATTCCGTTAGTATCTAATGTATCTAATTTTAATATAAATCCAAAATTATTATTTATATCAGTGTAGGACAGTTTTCTTTCACGTAAATTCACAACTAGCCTGTCAATAATAACATAGAATACTTCACATTTCATTTTTTGTTCTCCTTCCAATAATTCATTGTTACTTTCAGTTTGATCAAAAAACTTCTTTCTCTTTTTTGTCTCACGCCATCCCAGGAAAATAATTGTTTTGAACACATCGTTTTTGCTTGTTCTAAGTACACATCAAATCTTTCTCTAAAGTCTTCCACATATTTTTCTAAAGATTCGTACAGTGTAACAACTATGTCTAGGTCTATATCTATAGACTGTAAACTTATACTTGTTGCGTTAAATCTTTGAAGTATAGGTGTCCACATACAAATCATAAAACAAAAATTTAAACTCTCAATTTTATTTTTAATTAAATGAGCTTCGTGTCTTGTATCTTTTTTTTGTCCTTTGTCATCACAAATAGTAGTTAAAGCACTGAGTACTTGTGCATAAGCATAACCATTGCTTTACATACATCGTACCTGGATGACCAACGAGTTGAACATAGTTTTTTTATTTTGACACAATCTTGATTATTTTCGATAATATTAGTCAAAATATTACATCTGAATGTTGAAACAGAAAGGAAATTATAGATTGCTTGACATATAAAAAAAAATGTTGTGCCTTCTTGAGTTGTATCTGCAGCATTGGAACCAATTAAATTCAAAGAATGTGCTGAACACGGCACAAAAAAGGCTGTCGACGAATAGTTTTTAATTCGAGTCTGTAATCCGTTATAAACACCACACATATTAGACGCATTATCGTATGATTGACTCGCCGAAAATTAAAAGCTACAAATAACACAGACACACAACTGTGATGCATTTAGTTATTATTGAATCGTTGATAGATAAAATTATTATTGGTATTAATATTTTTAATATAATAATAATTATTTTAAAAATTTAATACGAAATTCGTAACGGAGAACGTATAATATTATAATATGATATATTTTCTAAAAATTTGCCGCCCCTCAAATCACCTTAAAATTGCCGCCCCGGGGCAATTGCCCCCCCTTGCCCCCCGTTAAATGCGGCTCTGTTCTTAGGGCTGTTTCACATAGACGCGAACCATACACGACGTATCGTACTCGAGTGTTTTCAGTTACATTGGTTATATTTATACGCACCACTCCGACGATGGTCTCGTTCCCCTAGTTGGTATGGCGCGTATGAACTTAATCAATGTAAACTAAAAACGCGTGTGTATGATTATACGTGTCCATGTGAAATGGGCCTTGAGCTTCTCCAAGACAGATTAATATTTAAAAATGTTTTTTTTCAATTGTAATCCATTTAACAATTTCTATTCAACTAACTAAAAGTAAGACAATTTTTTTTGTGGGATTTCATTATAGAAATGGTTATGCTATTGATTTGATTTTTCCAAAAAATGTTTAAAATTAAACAGGTACTAAAATCAACTAAAAATTTAGTTAATTGTTAATTACTTTAGGTAGTTATAAGTGTTAAGACCTTTAATTTTGATATAAAAAATAAATGCAATACACCTTAGTAATCAGAACATAGGTTCCTATATTTATATATTTAGAATTACAAATCCTACTACATTATGGTATCTAAAGTTACATCTATTTAGTACTCACCAACTACAAGTCCAGTCCTTCCACCTATAAGAGCTCCAATAAAACTACATGCTCCGACAATAGATCCTGCTATCACAGCAGTAGGCACCTCTGAAAACTCAAATTCCAAATCACCAACAAATCTCAACAATGCTTCTAGGCCAGCATTTACAAGTACAATTGACATATTAACAGCCATCACGAGTTAACAATATATCAATTACACATAAATTAACAAGTTTATAACATCGGTTGAATGTGTACTGTGTAGTAGTTTAATATTACCTTTAAGTCAAATTGGTACAAAAAAACTCAAACAGTGCACGAGCAATATGATTCTATGTTCTATGATTTGAAACATATAATATTTAAGATGGACATTAAATAATTATTACAACTATAAAATATGATATAATTGTGAATTTGTAACAATAAATTTAAATTAAAAAAAATGAACTGCCGTCTGCCAAGTGTCAACTGAATAAGTTAATATCTCATATTCTCATTATGTTTTTTATTTGTTGTCAACTTTGATAGTAGACCTTTCATCACGATTATAAAGAACAAGAATAAGTTCTTTATAATCGTGCCTTTCATTCACATAATTATTCTATTATCTATGATAATTCATCACGTTTGCTTACAATGATAACATAAAAAATGTGTAGAATCAGTTTTAGTATTGGTTTCAGCCACGGATTAATATGGGATATCACTATTACCACGATCAACTACAGTTACGATATGATACTACTCCGAATTTATATTTTAATAGGCATTCGTGCATATGCTTCGAACATAAATTACTTCGACTATCAATTTCTACGATAATGCATTACCACGATGATACCTTACTACGATAATAAGTAGTGATTAACCCGCCACACAACTATTGATAATACTATAATCACGAATTAAAATTCTTACTGGCAATTTTGTCATGGATGGTATGGTCACAGATTATAATATGGTTATACCACAGACTGTGTAAAGTACTAAAGTTTTGGACCATGATTAATTTGGTTAATTAACTAGTCATGTTTATTGTTTTGGACAATATTATGTAATAAGTAATAACTAATGAAGTATTGAACCATCCACAATCAAAAATTTCAATTTTTAGTATTTGAGCAATTTATATTTTCTTCGTATTAACTCATAGGAGTTGGGAAACAGGACTTTGAACTTGGAAGTCTTTACTTCTGTAGTATTAGGACGTGTTAGTGTATGGCTGTCAATTGTATCTGTAAGATCGTGATGCAAGATAATCTGGTAAGTTACATCTGATTACTCATTGCTTTAGGATTTTGGAAAATCAACGTACATAAAATATAGGTTACTGATTATACAATGACATCCATGTATTAGAATAAATTCATGTAGGCAATACTAGATATTATGAATTTAAAGTTTAAACATGTGTTTTCACTTATGTATGGACTATGGTCAATAAGATGATCCAATGGTTCAATATTCCTTACATTATTATGAATTGATTACAAAATTTAAGTATATTTTTATTTTGTTATTTTATATGTTGGCGTTTTGAGAAAAACAACTGTATATTTTACACATAATGTTGATTGTACTTAGTAAATGGGTACTTACTACATAGGTACTACAAAAAATATAATTCAAATTTCTATTACATTGTTTTATTTCAAAAACATACTATTTTACTTAAGATTTTTTTACTTACTTAAGCAGCCCACATTTCTGGAGAAAAAAATTGTAGCAAAAATAGAATTTTTTCTGGGTAATAATCACCATGCATTTCATTATACTATACATAAATGATTTCAATTTTTAACTTCTGTTTTAATAAATTAAAAACCATTTATCTCATTTTTATCCCATAAATATATTTTAGTTTTACTAATATTGTCATTACTTACATTTATAACAAAATCTTTATCTTTGATTTCCTTAAAAATTAAATAAAATCTATAAAATATACTATATACTATATACTCTATTAAAAAAAATGTTGTGGGCTTAAATATAAAGATACATCTAAACTAATAAATTAAAGTTAAAGTTTTGTTTGAACTTAAAAAAAAAAAAAATACAATTTATTCTACTTGTAATAGGTACTATATTATATACATTTTTATGCTACCATCTACAGTGTCATTGCATATCTCACACATGGCTGGTAATGGCAAGATGCAATCAGAACAAAACCATCCGTGCCCACAGTAAATATAGATGTAACGTGCCCTATTTGGTACATCCCGCATTTGTCTCATGCATCCCAAGCATTGACTTCCAGTCGGATCAGCCAAGTTATTATTTTGTAACCAGGTTCCTAGAAAATAAGAAATTACTTGCCAAAATATAAAAAAAAGTAATTAATTAAAGTATTTACTCTGTGTTCCATAGTTAATATGCATAATCTGGATTCTTTGCATCCGCGGAAATTGGTCTGTACATATTGGACAGTTGTTGAGCCTTAATCCACATGAATCGCAACACCATCCATGCCCACATGGGATAAGAATGTTTGCACTACCAACATCTGCATAATCATTCAGACAGATAAAACACCTGTCCAATAGATGATCATCTGTATGCAAATTATGTGGTATTTAAAATATTTGTTTATCACTAATTTATTTATAAACTATAGCTTACCATTGACAAGTGGTATATCTTGTGGAGGCCTTGCTTGCTCTGCCATAATCATGTCAGGTACCACAATTTGTACTAACAAAATTATATTTAATTCTCAGTTAAGTGTCTCAAATTTGTAAATGTTTATTTAAATATTAATTAGTGTGTTATTAACATAACAAATACCTTCAATTTCAGGAGAATTTTGTTGTACAATTGGTTCAACTGGTTGATGAAACCCTTCTTCCAAAATAACATCTAAATGTAGAAATATTATACATTAATACCAGTTGTTAAAATTTGATTCAAAGTCAAATCAAAATGATTTGTGAATTTACCTTCAAAATTAGCTTCATCCGGTCTGACGACAATAACTTCATCTTCACCTATTGGTGGTTCAACAGGTACATCTGGAATAAGAAATTCAAACTTATATACGTAATTTCAAAAATTTAATAATATACCAACCTTCAAAATAAGGGGAGTCCGGTCTAACAACAACTATGTCTTCTTCCACTGCTGGTTCGACAAGTACATCTAGAATAAATAGTTAAAACGTATACAATTTTATAATCTAATATATCTTTAGGTTGTAAACTTGCCTATTAGTTGCCCACGACCTCTACCGGGTTGAACTTGACCACGAGGTCGTCCGCGGCGTCTTTGAATTTGAGGGTTAATGCGGTTACCTCGCCCCCCACGTCCTCTTCTTTGTGCTATTTGACGGCCATTATTTGCCGTAAGAGGAGGTGGTAACAGCGGTTCAAGTTGTACAGGTGGTAGCTGCTGAATTTCATCTTCCTGATGTACTATATCAAATGTGAGTAGCTTAATATTATAATGTTATAAATATATAATTTATACGGAGACATATTTATTAGAAGACTAAAACTTAATATTTACCATTAGGTAATGGACCGATTTCATTGTCCAAGTATCCTCTCGCCACATGTGCGACTCTTCTAAGGAAGGATGAGGTGTTATATCGACCATTCCTTACTAGTCGAAGAGCATTTTGTAAGACCTCATTATTTCTATCCCGACTTGTGATAATTGATCTACGAACCTGAAAATAAAAAAACCATTAAGCAACAAGAAATATTAAATTATAAATAAATTTAACCTGATGTCCATTTATTATTTGTCTGGTTTCTCGTCTAACTCGAGATTCTACTGAACGAAGTCTGTCTGTATTCAAAAATATTCATATTATTTTTTAATATTTTAGTTGTATAATATAATAACTCAACTAAATATTTCACTGAACTTACCATAGAATGTCCAAACTGGAGGGTGTTGACCAATGGTGGTTTTCAGCATACTATGGAAACTCTCCACATAGTTATTTGTCCGAATATTTAATCCATACACTGAAAATCCAACTGGACCTACAGTATCGATCCAGTAATGTTGAATGTAATTAAACATATCGTCAAAATATTGCATTATGTCCATATGCCTCGCCAATTGTTGGATCACAAAAAACCCTCCAGTGATATGGAAGTCAATTGGCAATTGAGGGTCCCTTTCCGGAGGTAAATGTGGCAGTGCAGTGATCTTAAATAAAACAATAAATAAATATTAGAAAGTTTTATAGAATATCTAACTATATGGTGTTATAAGCCTACCATTCGGATAATGGTGGCTACATTATAGTTGTTGCGAACAATTTCATTCATGCCATGTGTGCGAATATATCTTACAATGCTCTGTTACCAAAAATATTTTATTAAATTTTATACTATTAGTATACACTATATACACAAATTTAAATGATAAAATATGTAATTTTTGTGGTGCAAATTTTATATGAAAATGTGTTAACCTGATTGAAATGGAACCAGCATCCAACTAATCGACAGTCCGGTATTACTCTTCGAATGGCATTTCGTTGAGCCATTTCAAAGTCTGCAATAATTTGCATTCTATTCCATTCAAAAAGTTCAAAAGGCAGATCTGTTGTTAAAAACTGCCACAATCTTATGTATACTGACTCTGTTCTTTGATTTGTAAGTGCATAAACAAGAGGAATGGACTGCGAGATAGATAAAAAAAACAAATGATGATGACTGATTAGAGTGTAAGTAATAACTAATGATATTTTATACTATACTTTTGCATTTATAATAATACTATAATTTTGATCAACAGCAGTCAATCAGGAATTATTTTAAAAATATAGTAAATTCTATTTTGTCAAATCTTACAATGTTATCCAGGACTGCATGTATGGTCACTAATTGATCAATATCTCCTGGAAAATGTGGTACTACCCCAAAAGTACCATCTACGGCTAAAACTTGAGCTCTTTGGAGGAATGGTACGTGTTGCCGTATAAAATCAATGTTTGCAAATAGTAAACCTCCAAATACTGAGTGTCCGTCTTGAATAAATTCAAGGAAACCTTGGTAGAAGGATACATTGTTGATGTCGTCTACCACAAATGACAGACGACGTTGCCACCTAACAGAGGCTATTGTCTCTCCCATTGACCTCAAATCGGCTGGTATTGGTGGTGAAACAGTTCTTCGAGCCTGCCGTACAACTCTTAGAGCTTGTTCAACATTTACTTCCATTGCCGCATTT